CTCTCTCTCTCTCTCTCTCTCTCTCTCTCTCTCTCTCTCTCTCTCTCTCTCTCTCTCTCTCTCTCTCTCATTTGTCGTGTTAGAAGTCACACCCCTCGAAGGGCATTGCCACATCACTCAGGCCCTAGGGAATGTGAAAAAGACAAAACACATGGGAGGTGATCCTCCTTTTCGGCCTCCTTCCGATCCCGATCCCTACCTTCCTTCGCCCTCCCCTCCAGATCTGGATCCTCTTTTCCCCCCTTCGCACAATGGTGATCCGCCTCGTGCCCTTCCTCATGATTCCTGCACATTTTTTCCCTTCAATCAATCAATCCCCAATCGGATCAATCAATCAATCAATCAATCAACCAGCCAATCGGATGGATTGGTTGATTGATTCATCGACTCCAAAAGAAATGAAGCCTGCCCCCCCCCCCCTCCCCCTTCTCTGCGCAATTGTGATCAGCCTCCTGCCCTTTCTCATGATCCCTATCTTCCTCTCCTCCCCTCGCAACTGATCCTCCTCCGGATCTTCCTGCTACTCTCTCCTACTCTCTCCTACTCTCTCCTACTCTCTCCTACTCTCTTCCTCATTCTCTTTGTGGTGCTCCTTATCACTGCAGTGTGCCTATGTGTGTGATCTATTTGGATCTTGTTCGAGTCAAGTCAACAAACAAATCTTCCTCGTAACCTTGTGGGAAACTACCGGTAGGAAGGGGTAACTACGGCGCAGTCACATTTTTAGTTCTAAATCCACTTCAGGCATCCCTCTAATACGACACATCGCCACCCAACTGTGTGTCCGAAAATGGATTCAACGGGGGTTTGCGGTTGAACGGTTCAACTCCCGTTGAACCCCCGTTTCAACTCCGCGTTATGCTGCGTTACAACGCTATTCAACTCGGCCCGCAAAATTTTTTTTCGGCGGCGAAAAAAGTCCCAAAAAAAACAAACAAATATGGGGGTGTAGATATCTTTGCGCTCCACATCCCCATTTTTTTTTTTTTTTTTTTGAGGAAGTCTATAAATTTTAAAAAAATAAAAAACCGGAATATTGTGGGGTCGAAGAAAAAAAAAAAATTCCAACTGACAATCGGCCTTTTTATGGCCGATTGTTGTCGTTTGCTGCCGGGGGGGGGCGCGG